AAGGCTGATCTAGATCCTCATATTTTCTTTCCCTTCTCCTGACTTTTTCCTTTACAGTGAACATGATGTGAAGGCTATAACTTGCACAGTCTTTCTAGTCCCCATTATTGTAGGAGAAATTGCATTTCTGCCCCTCCCAATTCTTTCCCCAGGCTATCATATACGTGGAGAATTGCAGGTCCTACTGATTTTTCAGACCAGCTCCTGTGACAAATCATTGACAAGTGGGTTCATGAAAACCTTGTATGAGCATCTGAGTCAAGTGGTGGCCCATCTCCATTGTGAGCTCCTACCAGGAAACAGCACCTGCTTCCCCACCTTAGAGAAACCCTTGGATGAGTTCAACCTCCAAGTAGAGCTGAAAGGTCAGAAACACAAAATGCAGGCCTTTGTAAAAGATAGCGTATGAAGTCAGAATGGTTGGGTTCAATCACAGTTTTGAGTGGAAGTAGTGTTTATACTGAAAATGGATTTTTCTAATGTTAGCTGAGAAGTTCGAAATTCTGTCATCCCCCTGTACAGTTTAAAGTAGCTCAATTCCTAGATCCATTTTCCAGTATTAATTGTCATAGAGTAATAAAGGGTCACACAGAAAGGCAGGATTTACCTGCTAACGGTACCTTTTGAAAACATTAGAAGTAACTGTTGTTTAACAATGTCTCCTTGTTGGATGCTCTACAATGGACAACCTTTAGATAAAAAGACATTGCCTTGGAGTGGTAGGAAGCCATTTCTTCAGCAGTACAGGCTGCGTTGGAAATGTATCACAAACAGGAACATTCGAAGATGAATTAACATACCGTATTTTTCGCTCTATAAGGCGCGCCTGACCATAAGACGCACCTAGTTTTTAGAGGAGGAAAACAAGAAAAAAAAATATTCTGAATCAAATGGGCACATCATCACAGGCACATTCCCCATCACTTCTCCATGGGCTGCAGATCTGACAAACTTACTGCGCACACATATTCGCTCTATAAGACGCACAGACATTTCCCCTTACTTTTGAGGGGGGGGGGAGTGCATCTTATAGAGCAAAAAATACGGTAATTTGCTTGTTGCTTTCAAAAATCCAGTGAATGACAAACAGCATATGGTAGACTAATATTGCCACTTTGGACTTGGGCAAGAATTTGAACCCTGTGTGCTCTGGCAGAAGAGGCAATTGGGATACAACTCAAGGTTAAAAAAATGTCCTTCTTTTCTAGTATCTCCCTTTGGGAAGGACTGGGATGAGTCCTGCTCCTCCAAGATGGATGCTTTGTCCTTAGGATGCTATCGCTCAGCTGTCCAGACAAACCTGCAGCAGGTGCGTCACTAAAGCTCACCTCTCCCTTTCAGGAGATAGCCTGCCAGGGTTTTCTAACTGTTTATTTCTGCCGAGGAGCTACCTTTTACAAAGCAAAGGGCAACTATCCTGTATCTGTTGGTTCGACCTTACCAGAACAAGACTAGTGTGAATGCTTGGCTTCTCATGGAATTACTGTTTCTTCTGGAGCAGATGTTGCATAATTTTTCTCTTCTGCTCTATTCTCTACCTTCTCACCTACCCAATGTCTGCCAGTGTGGATGTCTTACATTGTCTTACATCTACAAGCTAGCACTTAGCAGTGACTAAACCTAAGAAGGTAGGACTATTTACTGTAGTACAAGAACTCCATGGTTATGAAGCAAGAGGTTCATCCAAGGTTCTGAGGAAGAGGATGGTTGTTTCCATGTAAGGCATTTATGTGAAACTGCCACCCTTTGCACAGTTTTACAGGGTATGTACATTATATTGCCATCATGCTTCTTTTCTTTCCTCTGTGCTCTTTAGATTTTTCTTCCCCCTCCTTCCCTCCCTCGCGTGCGCGCGCACACACACAGAGAATGAGAGAGAGAGAGAGAGAGATTCACACACAATAATAATCATAATGTATTTACCATATTATCCACTCGCATTCTTCCTTATTTTCTTTCTTCACTGATCATCTTGCTTGTTTCCCTACAGGCCAAGGAAGCAATAACCAAATTCATGGAAAAGAACAAACGCTTCCCCCTAGGAGAATCAGTTGCCCCCCAAGACACCTTTGTCAATACCTTTTTCAGCTTCTTGGAGGGTGGAAAATGCCAGAGAGGTTATGGACAGACACAGGAGTTACAGGCACACTGTCCCGACTGCTGTAGTGAGTGGAGCAGGTGATCCATGAGCTGCTTCCCCATCCTTCCTCAGCCACGGCCTTTGGTCCTGTAGGTTGCAGTTGCTGTTTCTGCTTCTGGGAAGCTTTGCATGCTCCTTCCTGTTATTCCCCTACTGTGTCTTTCCCCTGGACTGTTTTCTTTAGCTCTTTTGGATGTCTCTTGGTATCCTGTTGAAGATATCATCCCATCATACGCGTAGCCTCCTGCCCGCCCATCAAGCAGGTTACACCAAGCATGACTGTCTTTAGGAAAGAAATTCCCAGAACTCCTTTAAGGAGCCCAGTGCTGGAAAAGATGCATCTTGAGTTAGGCCCACACTCTGTGTGGCCAGTTTTGAAATATATCCCCAACATCCCATAACCTGAAGGAGGAATGAACTCTATACCCTTTGTATATCCCAGACTCTGCTTCTTTCACTTTACAACCCTCTTTTTGCTCTTATCTGCCATGTTGCCTGCCAGCCTTGTGCCCTCCTGGAACATACAGTGAAGCCACGGTTGATAACTGTGTCCTCTGTCCAGTTGGGAGTTACAGCCCACACTACGGGGCCACCATCTGCAATGTGTGTCACCACAACTGGCTGACTGTGCATCCCGGTGCCAGAAGAGCTGGGGACTGTAGGAGTATGAAAGGTATGTGAAGGTGAAGGTGAAGGTGGGGTGGAAATATGTTCCAAAGAACTGGGGTTTTACTTCCTTAGAGGCCATTTGGACTTTTTGGCAGGAGTTCTTGGAGTACCAGACACTGAGAACCAAGCTAGATGTGATATTGATTGTGTCTTTGTATTTAACAGGTAGGATTAAAAATGTAAACAACATAATTTGTGGGACTAAAACTTTTCAGGATTGCTGCTGGCTTGGAGGAGGCAATATAACTCTTTTCCTCCCTGCTATGGTGCCAGTGGGGGATTACCTCCCAATGCAAATACCAGTTTAAGAGGGGGGATTTTCCCTTGTACCACAGTGGGGGAGGAAAAGGTTGTATGTCACAGTCATTTTTAGCACCTAGAGCTGATGGTGTTTACATTTTTTAAAAAGTTACATGCAAAGACATATTTAAAGTTGCATTAATTCATCACTGAGTTTCCTATTAACTTGCCCTGTTAATGGTACAAACTAGAGGAAGAAATAAGAGATAGTATTTCAGGGTTCTCTACAAAAGGGTGTGGTGAGTAAATCAGAAGTTTCCAAGGACTAGGACTTGTGGATTCCAATAACTCTTTCTCTGTCTCTGTCTCTCTTTCTTTCTATACCATCTTTTCTTAAAAAAAAAAAAAAAAAAAAAAACAAAGCAGCTTGCATCATTCTCCTCCTCCTGCCCACAACAACAATCCTGTGACTTAGGTTGGGCTGAGTGTCTGTGACCCAGTTGGTTCCATGGCTGAGCAGGGACTAGGAACCAGATCACCTGAGTTCCAGCCTTGCTTTCTTAACCACTGCACCACACTGTCTCTCTCTCCCTCTAGAGCATCTAGTGCAGGGATGGGAAACTTGTAGACCTCCAGATGTTTTGGCCTACAATTTCCAAGTTGCCTTGCAATTGACGATGCTGCCTAGGGCCATTGGGAGTTGTAGGCCAACATCTGAAGGATCACAAGTTGCCTGTTCCTGACCTAGTGGATGAACAGGTGTGAGGATATGTGGATTTGGTGCCTGCTCCTAATAGCGTTTGGGTAGGTATTTTGCTTTGACTGCTGTTTGTTTTTGTGATACTTGGGCTTGTCTCCTAGTTAGCTATACATTTTGAAATTAACAGAGGTAGGTGTAACTGTTGGATGGGTGGCTTGGCTCTGGATGCTGTGATGATTCAATAAGTCCTTGAATGACTTGTATCTCTTTTTGTACAGTCCCTCCATCACGTCGTTTTTCAGTGCTGATGGTGGCCTTTTCCTTACCACCACTTGGCTGCCTCTGCCTCATTGTACTGTGAGTTCTGGTGTATTCACCTTTTCTACCTAACATCACTTCTGTAAAATTTAGTAGGTCAAAGAAATTTATGGCTGGGCACTTGGTAAGATCATTAAGACTATTGGTAAGATGAATGACTATTGAGTGGTCATGAGAGATCCTTATAACTACCTTGGTTTGGAACTATTACAGATTAACCCTAATCAGGGGGGACACAAGCCCAGGAAGAGAGTCTACAACAGGATTTTCTATCAGGATCACCAATTTTTCTCTGTCTCCTTGGACCTTGGGACCAGGTGGCACTGAAAAGCTTTTGCTTTCATTATACCTGTACTGCTTTACTGCTGACTACCCCCTGTACATAGTTTCCCCGAGACCTTTTTACATTTAGGCCCTTCTTTTTCACCATTACATTGGATTCTTAAACCAGACCAGTCTGCATATACCAGTAGTATTTCTTCCATTTTAAAGAGGCTGGCATGGTAAGCACACCTAGAACTGAGGATTAATGGGCAAGATGATGTTACTTCCTTGGCAACTGGTTCCATGTTATTGCAATGTGCTGTTGCCCATATTTTGCTCATGGGGTTCTGGGAAATCAGAACAGTGTGGGAAGTGTGACAGTTGTGCCTTATGGTTATCATCCCTGTGCAGCTTCTGCTATTGCTTCCGCCGTCGCTGGCAGAAACGTGATTCAACTACAAAAGATGAACAATCCGAACAGCAAGAAGAAGACATGGCCTTTCTGGATTCCCAGGAACATGACTTTGAACAGAGTGAAAATGAAGGGGTTACATATTCACCTTCTGCATTGGAAGAACTGCCAGAAGGGGTCACATCTCTTCCTATTTCTGAAGTACAGGATCAGTCAGAAGAGATCATGTTTGAATCTCCTGAATTGCAGGAACAGCCAGTCATGTTTCCACCACCTTCTGAACTGGAGGAACAGCCAGAAAGGGCCTTGTTTGCATCTCCTGAATTGGAAGGGCAGCCAGAAAGAGCCTTGCTTGCATCTCCTGAATTGGAAGGACAGCCTGAAGGAGTTATGCTTCCATCTCCTGAATTGGAGGAACAGCCTGAAGGGCTTATGCTTCCATCTCCTGAATTGGAGGAACAGTCAGGTGGGGTTTTGTCCTCAACCCCTCCTGGGCCAGAAGAACAGGCTGTTATGGAAAATGTTGTGTTCCCACCATCCTCACCTATCTCAGATGCAGAAAGTGCTTGACTCTCAGTAAATGGTTTTCCCTGCAAGCAAGCCTGCTCAAATGTTCTTACAAGTTTCTGATATACTATCTAATCAGCTCAGAGAATCCTTACTTGTTCTCTTGCTCAAGCTTTTCTAGAAACTGCACCTGACAGACAAAGCAGTTCATTTTAGCACACAAACTCTGTTCTATAAATCCAAGTGTGAATCTACCTGTTTGAATCTGGGCAATAAAATAAATGCCATTTAGTCAGGAAGTCCCAGTAGCTATAGACAATTGTACTCAATATAGCAACAATAGCTTGCTAACCAACAATGACATATACATTGCTTTGAATCCAGAGTAAGATAATCAAAATCCATAAAATGGAAATATAAAAAGACCGGCTCAAATCCCTTCCTCATTTCCCCAAATACAAATTCAAAGAATGACCCAACTCAGAGGGATGGGGCAGTGCTGTAACTCATTAAAAATGGCTGATGCCTGAGTGAATAGCTTCTTCTGGTAACTATCTCCCTTATTTAGACTCCAGGTTGCCTTTCATTTTGACTACTCCAAGCATTTTATTGAACCATCCATTCCTTGTGTTCATTTAGTAGCCTATTCGGGTTTCTTCCCTGGCAATCAGTCCAAAATTCAACAGCAACATCATGGCTTGGTTTATCACACTGGAGAGACCCAAGGTGGATATCAGGTGGGCACTAAGCTTTTGTAGGTTCCCTTGAGCCCCATATGACACACAATATATGCAGACCAAAACCTTTGATCCTGCTTGAACTCTCCAAGATGGTGCAAAAACTGCATAGTTGTAAAAATAGGAAAGGCAAAAATCTGTCCTGCAGACCAGAGTACAAATATACTCAGGGGACAAACTTAATTGTAAATATGACAGTGATGGAATCTGGTTTTCTGGCCATAGCTGTTTAATAGGAAAACATTCAAGAAGTCATCTGCCTATTTTGGGTGTTGATTCCTTATCTTAAATGGATGCTAATGAACGGCTGATTACCTACATCATTGTTTTCTAGGGAGTTTTCAAGTACTTCCTGCACAGTGTCTTTCCTCTTGAAGACTCTGAATAGTCAATTTAATGAGTGTACGTACTTATGAGAGGTATTGCATTAGGGACTGAACAGGATATTTTGCACAATCTGTAGGTATGGCATAGAGAGGGTGAGAACTATACCATCTGTGCATACCACCAAAAAAACCCAACCCCCCCCCCCCAAAAAAAACCCCCTGGTGATCACGACCCATTTTGTCCTTATATGGTCAAGGCTTTGCTTAGTATATGTTCCCAGCTAAAATCATTTTGGAAATATGATTTGGGAAAATTTTGGAAGTCAAATTGTTTAGGAAATACCCAATACAGTGGTAAGGCTTAATGTCTTGGTAACAGCTGTGTTACATTTTTGCTTTTTGTTGACAAGCATGTATCAGTATTTTGCCTTAGATGATAATACTCTGAAAATGAAATTAAAACAACTGTGTGACCCATTGCAAGGCACTAGTAATAACATTATTCATTTAAAATTGATATTTTAGTGCTTTTCTTTATGGAGGAGAAAAAAAATCTTAATCAGTGTTACCCATATTTGTTGAAAAGAATAAGTTCATTCTAAACATTGCTGCTAGGTGTTTATGAGGGATGGACTTACAACCTAACGGTTTGTATCCTTGTAAGTATTTCCCAACATAATTGCAATGGCCCAGGTGCGCACCTCAGAGCAGCTCTTTTTAGTGTTTCATCTGTAGCAAAAGTAGCTTGTACTTTGTTCCTCAGTCTAATAATGTCCAGATGTTGCATGACCTGGAAAGTTAAGCTGCCTTTTGCTACATAACAGTCATGCTAGATCAGACTACAAATCTAGCTAGTCGAATGTTCTGTTCACACCATAGCTGCCCGAAGGAAATCCACAAAAAGGATGTGAGTGGATTGGGCAAGCACCCTCCTGCCCAAGTCCCCTGGCAATTGGTGTATGTAGGCATACTGCCTCTGATGTTGGAGATCGCATAAAGCCATCAGGAATAGGAACTATTGATAGCCATCTCCTCCAGGCCCTTCCAATCCCATTTTAAAGCCATCCAGATTGGTGGCCATCACTACATCCTGTGGAGGTGAATTCTATAGTTTTAAGTATTTGCTCTGTGAAGAAGTCCTTTTACCTGTCCTGAATCTCCCACCAGTCAGCTTCATGGGATGATCTCAGATGATCTTATGGGAGAGGGAGAAGAATGTCTCCCTGTGCATATAGTTTTGTACATATTTATCATGTCTTCCCTTACAGATTTTCTAAACTGAATAATCCCAGATGTAACTATCCTCTCAGAAACCATGGAAAAGTGCTGCCCACTTATTTCCATTTTCCTACATAAAAAAGATCCAGCAGTGCTGCAAGAAGCAGCCCACAGAGCAGCCAGCCAGGTAAAGGTGCACAGAACCCAAACATGCACATGGGTAACACAACAGGAACATTGTGGCTCGAGTAATCGAAACTTAACCTTTTTTAAAAAAATACTGTATCCAGTTCAAATGACAGATTGTTCAAATGATAACAGACATAATTTGTGCCCTGAAGATAAAAAAGAAATACTGTCTTTGACTTCTTGGCAGTATGGTTAATTTAAAACCTTATGGCAGTCTTGTGGTCTTGGAACATTAGGCAATTACTCTGTCAGAGTTAATGTCAGGATAATATAGTTGTAATCCTGTGGATAACCAGCAGCTGAGTCAGACCAAATATGTAGCCATTTGACGGTGGTGTCTGCATTCAAATATTCAAGCATTGTGAGGTCCTCTTATCCACTGCACTATAGAAGGTGTTTATTCTTCCAATTTTCTAATATCAGCCTCTTAGCTGCCAAAAAGGCATGGAGAATCCATTTACAACAGCCATTTCTTAATTTCCATGAAACAGGTACATCATTTTAAAGAGTGTATATATTAGAGAATATTAAAGTCTGCTCCAGTAAAAAAATAATTCAGTCCTCTAAGCACTTTGTCTGTCTTCTCAGGATGCACAAGCTGAAAGGTATCCACAGCATAACTAGATAGTGCACTAGCTACATCCATCTCAGATTGTCAAAAG